AACGTAACTTACTACTTACTACTAATTACTTACTTAATTACGTTACGGTTACGTACCGACCTACCCTACCCGTACCGTAACCTAACCTACCTACCTCTCTCTCTCTCTCTCTCTCTCTCTCTCTCTCTCTCCTCCCCTCTCCCCACCCCACCCCACCCCACCCCACCCCACCCCACGGCCCCTGGGGGTTACCCTTTTCTCTTTCCCAAAAAGGCCACCTACGCAATGCCTTGCTCAGTTTAAAACACTGCTTGCCTTATATTATTTTTACTTTATTGTAACAAGTGTGCTTGATAGGCAGCAGAACATTGTATATGTCAAGTTCCAAGATTGACTTCCAAATGCTTGAGATGCACTTTTTGCTCTTCACATGTCTTATGAAAGAGTTATACTTTATAACTATGTGGGTTTTTGTTTTGTATATTAGTATAAAGGTCTTCTGGTTTACTATATTTTATAATGTGATTTTGCAATTACTACTTCTTAAATTTTGGAATATCTTCTATTGTTTGACGTCACCAAGGAAGTCTTTAATGACTTTCCTTGTTTATTTGTGGAGCATGATCAATGATTTATGTATGTCACTGCAGGAAGCAGCAACGCTTGTGGTTATTTCTTTGGTTTTACCGAAGAAACCTGATATACTGATGATTCTCTGGGTATACTGATGATTCTCTTACCAAAACTGAAGTTTGAATGGAATTGTTGTGGAGAAGATGAACTCTTATTAACTCTATGGATGGTTGGGCAGGTAAAAGAAATAAAAAATAGTTATCGCTTTTGCTAATTTGGTGCAGACTTGCATTGAAATTGCTGATGAATTTTAATATTGGGAATGCATTATATGGTTCATTTGACTCTGAAAAGCTGTATCCATTGTAATATGATGAGCAGTGATGGATTCACTATGTCAGACTGCTTGTGTTATGTCCCTTCCTTGTGGTAGGTAGCACAAGTTCTCTGGATATCACCATCCATCATTTCATCTGATGCCCCTGTGGGACTATCATTTTCAACAGTTCATTGGAGTGGAAAACCTTGCTTAGAATCTTGATGCTTTTGTGACAATGTTTACAAATTGAATGGTTGTTCAGGTTTGTGAAGAAGATTTGGTTGTGGGGGTGCACACGTTGGCACAACTTCTCTTGCCTAGGGCTTTGGGCAAGTCAAGTGACCATTTTTCTAGGACCAAGGTTTTTTATTTTCTTGAGAGGTACATCCCACTTAAGTTTTTTTTTTAACTCCAATTTTGTAGATTTATACTTTGGTTATACCTACTTTTTGTTGGGATACTATCTGCTAGGAATTTTGATGGGCTATATTATTGAGAAGACATCTTTGATTAGAAATTGTACTTGGATTTCAGCAGAAATGATGCATGATCTTTGGCAACGTAAGAAGGGAAACGTCTGTATCTAACATAATTTTGGAAGCATAAAAATGTAATACAAACATTTAGGTAGACTTAGGGGTGACAACGGGTCCTGGACTTAGAACCTGACACGGACATGGATCCGGACCTAGAACTAGACCCCGTTCCAACTGACTCGGACCCAGGCCCAAATCCAGATCCGGGTCCAAGTGACTTGGATCTGAAACCTGACTCGGGTCTAGAAATTTAAAAAAAACATAAAATTTATCTTATGTATATTTCGATCATAAGTTATGTATTTTGGGTGGGATCGGATTGACTGCAACCCGGTAGGGTCAATGTTGGACTTGGGAACTGCTGGTTAGTTCAAGTCATTTCGACCTAGACTCAACCCTCTAGGTCCAAAACATGTACTCAGACCCGACCCTCTGGGTCCAAAACATGGACTTGGACTTGGACTCGGTTTTGGTCAACTTGACCCACTTGCCACCCGTAGGTAAAATTCAAAGTTTAGAAACATTATATGTGGAAATTACTTGGGACAAAATTGCCTTTTTTGTCTCTCTCCCGCTTTTTTTCTCTATTTCTCCTTTTAATGATGTGACACTTTACTTTCTTCCTTTCTCTACTCTCCTTCTCTTACCCTCTCTCTACCTCTCCACTTGTCCTCTTTCTTCCACTCTCAGCCCGTCCTCTCTCTCTACCTGTTTCTTTCTATCTCGCTTTCTCTCTCTACCATCCATCACTCTTTCTCTGTCTGTCCATTGTTTTATGCGGACTGGCACACTCCTTGCTAGACTGAAAATGTTTTTTGCGGTCTGGCACAAAAACGTTTTTGTGTTAAACCGCAGAAAAAATCATTCTAGCAAGGTGTGGTCCAGCACACTCCTTGTCGGATCGATTTTTTTTTGCGGTCCGGACTGCAAAAAAATATTTCGGTCCGGCAAGGATTGTGCCGGATCACATAAAAAAAATAGAGAGAGAAATAGAGTGAGGGAAAGAGTGAGGGAGGGTAGAGAGAGAAACGATGAGGGAGGGTAGAGACAGAAAGAGTAGGAGGGTAGAGAGAGATAGAGAGAAACAGGTAGAGAGAGAAAGAGAGGACGGGTGGAGAGAGGTAGAGAGAGAAAGTAAGAGAGGGCAAGTATAGAGAGAAAGAGAGCAAGCGTCATGTCATTAAAAGGAAAAAATGAGAAAAAAGGGGAAGAGAGAGAAAAAGACAATTTTGTCTCAAAACTCATTGACTTTTTGATTGGGGGGGTAAATACATGGAAATATAATATTGGGGTTTAGGATATAATACAAAACATATTGGGGGTAGGATGTATAGAAAGTTGATTTTGGGAGGGTATATATAAATTTTTTTTGAGAAGAAGGTTAACTGCATTAAAATAAGAGTATTACAAATATTCTAAATCTAAAGAAGGCGATCCCATAGATTGGGTGCTCAGACAACAAGAGTTAGAGATATAGGGAGGGAAGAAGAGAAGAAAATAAGAACAACCTAAAGAGGGAGCATGGGCTGCGCCCATCAAATTTAAAAGAGATATTAGGGGTAGGGGAGATAAGAAGAGAAGAGGAGAAAAAGGAAAAGAAATACCTAAAGAAGAAAAAATGGGCAGAGCCGTACATATGTATAAAAAGATGAAATCTCTTAACGTGAAACATAATGCCATAAGGTTTGAGGCGAGGGCCTCCAGTGGTAGTAGCTGTTCATGATGTTGCGGAACCTCGCCGGGCTTACAATGGTGAGATTTGGACCACTACAGCTTAAAGGAAGGCCACCAGTATCGATTGTTGTCCATGATGAATGTGAGTCCTCTCCCGGCATACTATAGTGAGATTTGGACCACAGCGGCCAAGAGGATCAGGTGAAAGCTTCGGGCCGCTGCAAAATGGTAAAGAACGTGTTGACTCTGATATTTGGTGATGGTGGGATCACCCTAAAACAAGGAGTGTAGCGCTTCCAAGGAGGAGGAATGAGGAGGTGCCTTGTAGATGAATCCAAGGGACACCCACTGATCATAGGGTAATACTCCTCCCTAGAATGACGCTAGCATTTCTTCGAGTTCAGTGTAAATGGGTGTTGGATGCAAAGAGAGAGGATGAGAGAGGGAGTATAAAACCCTCCCTCGATTTTCAATTCTCACTACTTAAGAGTAGAGGAGCAACATTGAATATAGTGGAAAGATTGGAGCTAGAGATAACAAAAAGGTAGAACATGGAGATGGGTGTGTGAGAACACAACCACTGTGATAGAGTTATGATAGATCGAATAAAGGCGGTAGAAATGGAAGAGGAGAGTGAGGTTGGGGGATACAAGTTACAAAGATGCGTACCTTAGATAAGTATCTGATCGACGTGAAGACTTCAGCCATCGGGGCAGTTGATGTTGAAGAAACGACAGTGTCCAGAAGGCTAAGTTAGGTAAAGGCCCAATGGCTTGAAACTGAGCAAGTAGATCCAACAGACATGAGAAAAAATATAACCTCAAGAAAAAAAAAAAAAAAAAAAAAAAAAAAAATATATATATATATATATATATATATATATATATTCTTTCTTTTTTTGTTTTTAGTTTTTTTTTTGGGTTGGGTAGGG